TGAATCCTACTTAATTGTGATGTATATTCTTTTGATGTGTTGCTGAATTTGGGTTGCCAAGATTTTGTTGAGGACTTTTGCATCTATGTTCATCAATGGTGTTGGCCTGTAGTTTTCCTTTTTTGTGCTGTTCTTGTCAGGCTTTGGTTTCAGAGTGATGTTGGTCTCGTAGAATGTGTTTGGAAGTGTTCCATCTTCTCCAATTTTTTGGAATAGCTTGAGAAGGATAGGTGTCAAATCCTCTCTGAAAGTTTGGTAGATTCCCCAGGGAAGCCGTCTGGTCCTGGGGTTTTATTCTTTGGGATGCTTTTGATTACTGTTTCAGTCTCTTTCCTTGTGATTGGTCTATTCAGATTATCTGTTTCTTCTTGATTCAGCTTTGGGAGGTTGTAAGAGGCTAAGAATTTATCCATTTCCTCTAGATTGTCCCATTTTGTTGGCATATAGTTTTTTGTAGTATTCTCTTATAATCTGTTGTATTTCTGTGGCATCTGTTGTTATTTCTCCTCTTTCATTTCTGATTTTGTTTATCTGAGCTTTCTGTCTTTTTTTCTTTGTAAGTCTGGCTAGGGGTTTCTCAATTTTATTTATCTTCTCAAAGAACCAGCTCTTTGTTTCATTGATTCTTTCTACTGCCTTTTTTGTTTCAATAGCATTTATTTCTGCTCTGATTTTTATTATTTCTCTCTTTCTGCTGACTTTGGGCTTTATTTGCTCTTCTTTCTCTAATTCAGTTAGGTGTAATTTGAGATTGCTTATTTGGGATTTTTCTTGTTTGTTAAGGTGTGCCTGTATTGTGATGAATTTCCTTCTTAATATGGCTTTTGCTGCATCCAATATGAGTTGGTATGTAGGTTATCATTTTCATTTGTCTCCAGATATTTTTTGATTTCTCCTTTAATTTCTTCAGTGATCCATTGCTTGTTCAGTAGCGTGTTGTTTAGTCTCCAGATCTTTGTCCCTTTCTCAGCTTTTTTCTTGTAATTAATTTCCAGCTTTATAGCATTACGATCAGAAAAGATGCTTGTTATTATTTCAATTTTATTAAATTTATTGAGGCGTGCCTTGTTTCCCAATATTTGGTCTGTCCTTGAGAATGTTCCATGTGCACTTGAGAAGAATGTGTATTCTGCTGTTTTTGGATGGAGTGTTCTATATATGTCTATTAAATCCAACTGGTTTAGCTTTTCATTTAATTCCACTGTTTCCCTGTTGATTTCCTGCCTGCATGATCTATCCATTGATGTGAGTGGACTGTTGAGGTACCCTACTATTACTGTGTTAATATTAATATCTTCTTTTAGGTTTGTTAATAGTTGCTTTATGAACTTTGGTGTTCCTGTGTTGGGTGCATAGATATTTATAAGCATTATTTCTTCTTGATGTAGTGTCCCTTGATGTACTGCCCCTCTTTGTCTCTCTTTACTTGTCTCATCTTGAAGTCTATTTTGTCTGATATGAGTATTGCGACACCTGCTTTCTTTTGTTTGCCATTACCTTGGAGTACCGTTTCCACCCCTTCACTCTGAGCCGTGTTTGTCATTGGAACTGAGATGTGTTTCCTGGAGGCAGCATATTGTTGGATCTTGTTCTTTAATCCATCTCACTACTCTGTATCTTTTTATTGGAGAATTCAATCCATTTACATTTACGGTGATTATTGATGTTTGAGGGCTTAATGCTGTCATTCTATCACTTGTTTTCTGGTTTTCCTGCATTTCCTTTGTTTTTCGTCCTGTGTGTTTTGGTCTGCCTGTTGAATTGTGTAGTTTTTTATGATATGTTTCTTTATTTTCTCCATATTTATTCTTTGTGTCTCTGTTCTGCTTTCTTTTTTTAAGATTTTATTTTTCCTTTTTCTCCCCAAAGCCTGCAGTACATAGTTCTATATTTTTAGTTGTGGGTCCTTCTGGTTGTGGCGTGTGGGATGCCACCTCAGCATGGCTTGACACACAGTGCCATGTCTGCGCCAGGATCTGAACCAGTGAAACCCTGGGCCGCCGAAGCAGAGCGCACAAACTTAACCACTCAGCCACAGGGCCGACCCCCTCTGTTCTGCTTTTTTGTTTAGTGGTTACCTTGAGCTTTGTATTCAGAATCTCCTGTATACGATAGTCCATTTTCTGATGGCTTCTTATTTCCTTAGTCTATACCGATTCAGTCCCTTTCCTCCTCCCCTCCTAAGGTGTTTCTTTCACATCTTATTCCATCTTGTGTTGTGAGTTTGTGGTTTAAATGACAAGATTATCTTTGTTTTTGGTGTTTTCCTTCCCTCTAGCTTAATGCTAGAGTTGAATGATTGCTATCTTATTCTGGTTCTGTCTACCTGTTTATCTCCTTACTCTGTGTTTTTTGTCTCCTTTCTCCCCCCCCCCCCTTTTTTTTTTTCCAGGTATAAGGGCCTTCTTGAGGATTTCTTGTAGTGGGGGGTCTCGTGGCTACAAAGTCCCTTAGCTTTTGTTTGTTTGGGAAAGGTTTAATTTCTCCCTCATATCTGAAGGATATTTTTGCTGGATAGAGTATTCTTGGCTGAAGATTTTTGTCTTTTAAAGATTTGACTGTGTCATTCCATTCTCCCTTAGCTTGTAAGGTTTCTGGAGAGAAATCTACTGAAAGCCTGATAAGGATCCCTTTGTAGGTTATTTCCTTCTGCCTTGCTGCCCTGAGTATTCTTTCTCTATCATTCATTTTTGCCAGTTTTACTACTATATGCCTTGTAGTAGGCCTTTTTACATTGACAAATCTAGGAGATCTGGAAGACTCTTCCACAAATTTCCCTCTTTCCCTAGGTTTGGGAAGTTCTCTGCTGTTATTTCTTTGAGCACACTTTCTGCTCCATTCTCCTTCTCTTCTCCTTCTTGAACACTTATAATTCTTATGTTGCATTTCCTCATTGAGTCAGATATTTCTTGAATATTTCTTCATTTCTTTTTAGTCTTAGTTCTCTCTCCTCTGTCTGGAGCATTTCAACATGTCTTTCCTCAATTATGCTGATACGTTCCTCTATGATGTCCATTTGAGCATTTAGGGAATTTGTATTTTGTTTTCTCTTTTCCATTGTGTCTTTCATCTCTAATATTTCTGATTTATTCTTTATTGTTTCAATCTCTATTGTGAAGTAGCTCCTGAACTCATTGAATTGTTTCTCTACGTTCTCTTTTACCTCGTTGAGTTTTTTGATGATAGCTATTTTGGATTCATTGTCGTTTAGATTACATATTTCTGTGTCCTCATGACTGAGTTCTGAGTGCTTGTCGTTTTCTCTCTGGTCTGGAGATTTGATTTAGTGTCTGATGTTGAAAGGTCGGGTCTTACACGTTCTGATATTATTCGGTTGCAGTCATTGCCTGTTGCCACTGGGTGGGGATTGAGAGCTGCGTATTCTGAGGCTTCCGCCTTCAGCCGATGTCCCAGGAAGTGAAACGGCACGGGGCGGGTTGGGGAAGAGGCACTTTCTTCAGCGTGCACTCTGGTCTATCTTGATCAGCTTTTTCTATCTGGTCTCCTGGGGTGTTGGCTTGATGAGGTCACCCCCCTCCAAAAGCTTTTGCCCTGTTAGAGTGCTTCCCTCTAGGCTGCAAGGGCCCTGGGGACTCCTTGGTGATGCTGCGAATGAGCGACCCCTCACCTGTTCCTTCCCTCATGGATTCTCTTGCAGGCACGATTGCAGTCTTTAGGGGAGGGAGCAAAGTTCTCTCTTACCCTGTTCCTGCTCCACTGAGGAGGGCCCCAGCCTCTCTGCCCTCCGTCGTGTGGCTGCGTGTCTCTCTGAAGTTTTTTGTGTTGTTAGGATGACCTCTGTTGAAGTATGGTTGCCCCTTTTTATTGTATGTTGGGGCGAGAGAGTCCTGGGCAAGTTCATTCTGCCATAATGCTGACATCACCCACAAATTCTAAGTATATTTTGATGGTGAAGGTATTGGAATTTGCAGATAGATTTGCTATATAAGAAAAACCAGAGTAGTGCAAGAAAACACAAAGGCTTTTGTCCTAAGCAACTGGAAGAATGCAGTGGCCATTAGCTGATATGGGAAAGACTGCAGGAGGAGAAAATTGAATTGTAAGGGCAGCTCAGTTTTGGAATCTTATAAAATTGAGATACTTATAAAACATTTGGGGGAGAGAAGTCAAAAAGGCAGTCAGATAATCAAGTCTGGAGTTTAGAATAGAGGCCCAGGCTGGAGATATTTGGGAATAATCAACATATAGATGGTATTTAAAGCTGTGAGAACACTGAGAAAGAGTAGATGGAAAATTCACAGGTCTAAACATTGAATGCAGGAGGTTTGGGTGATGAGGAGGAACCAGCAAATTAGACTGAAAATCAGAGACCACTGGGGTTGGAGGAAAACCTGGGAGAATGGTGTCCTGTAAGTTAGAGAGCATTAGTTTGCCAAAGTCTGGTCCTGGAAACAGATCTAGTCTTTATTTTTAGTTAACAAATTCCGTGGTAAACTCAGCCACAAATATAATAATTCCCAAATACTAATCCAGTGTGAGAATGAGTGAACATCAGTTACTATTTGAAAACTGAGCACAGTACTATTCAAAAGAACTGAATTTCAATATGAAGTGTAAGTATACAAAAATATTAAGAATTACAATCAAATTGACAAAGGTATCTCTTGAAATTTACTATCTGCAACACAGGAACCAAAGATTCCCTCACTTTTCAAGCTCAGCAACTGAAGAAATTTGGATAGCAAAGTGCTTTTGTATCATCTGTTCTTTTGCTTACATGCACTGCATATAGAAAGGAACTTGATAAATAGTTGTACTCTGGTTTTATAACTGGATTTTTCCCCGCTAATGCTTAGATTGTCCTGGCAGCTGAGAATATCTACACTTTTGCATTTATGATGAAATTTAATTGTGACCTGACATGTAAAAAATCTTTTGGAGAAGCAGCAGTTGTGATTTTTATGAGACATTTTATGACTGTAATTGAAGGGAGTTTTATTTAATGTAAAAATATCTGGGTTTTTTTTTTCCATTTACAGGTTTCTGAAGGATTGTCATTTTTGCATAGCAGTGTGAAAATGGTTCATGGAAATATTACACCTGAAAATATAATTTTGAATAAAAGTGGAGCCTGGAAAATAATGGGCTTTGATTTTTGTGTATCATCGACCAATCCTTCTGAACAAGAGGTAATGAAGATTTTAATGTTCTAATTTTTTAAGGCTATGGAAATTTGTGATTGCATCTGGAATGGACTAGAGAATTTTTAAGCCTGATAAATGTGTAGAAATAGTCTATGTGGTACAATGGTATGTTTAAATGTATAGCTTCATAGAAAGTTTCTAGTGTTCATTGTACCGAACAGTATTCTTCAGCTCATTAATTCCATAGTTGTAAATGTTACGTGAGAAAGGATTCTAGAGTTAAGGAAATTTGAAAACTATTGAGTGAAGCAGGTTTTTTCCTCAGAATGTCAAATACACTAACAAACATAGTGAATCTCTATCAGTGTTTCCCCAACTTAGTAGACCACAGAATCTTGTTTAAGGAGCATGATAACAACAATAGCAATGATAATAGCTAACATTTATTGAAGCATTTTTATAAACACTTTTTATGTATTTACTTATTTTAGTCTCACAGCAACTCAGTGAGGTATAGGAATAATACAGTTGAGTAAGTTAGGCTCATAGAATAAAATAATCTGCCTAAATTTAGACAGGTAGTAGAGCTAGGATTTGAACGCACTCTTTCTGCTTCCAAAGCACATGGTACTTAGTGATTTTGATACATACTTATTTATACTTAGAAAACACTGCAATGTGTCAAGTCAACTATACGGAGTTGTTAAAGGGACCATGATTTTACCTAAGATAGATTTGTAATTTAAGTAAAGATTTTTAAGGGAAGCAGGAAGAATTAGTATTGGTTGAGTATACAATGGGAATGGGTCAGGGACTGTGCTAGGTTTGTTTTTGCATACATTTGTTTAATCTTACAATAACCTTTTGAAGCTGTTGACTAAATCACATACTAGTTAGTGAAGGAACAAGGTTTCAAATAATATTTGAGGCCATAAAACTTGAAGCCTGTGTATCATAAAACATAGGCCAGACCTTTCCACAGTCGTACTGCATGTTAAAGTGATAATTTGTGTTCTGGAAGAGAGCTCCAAAAATCTCAAAGTTAAAAGAGTTCTTATTATCTCACAATTTGTTGCGTGAACTTTCTAGACTTGGGAATTTAGGAATGAAGGTGGTGGTAACATTTTTACTTGCATGACTGAATATGAATTTGAAACTGGATTGCTACTGCTTGATAGTAGTTTGCTTTAGTTTGAAATATTTAATCTATGTAATCCCTTTTCTGTCTTATTACAGCCTAAGTTTCCTTGTAAAGAATGGGATCCAAATTTACCATCATTGTGTCTTCCAAATCCTGAATATTTGGCTCCTGAATACATACTTTCTGTGAGCTGTGAAACAGCCAGTGATATGTACTCTCTAGGAACAGTCATGTATGCTGTATTTAATAAAGGGAAACCTATATTTGAAGTTAACAAGCAAGATATTTACAAGAGTTTCAGTAGGCAGTTGGATCAGGTATTTGTTTATAAATAGTTGCTTGCATTTAAAATCTATTAAATATTTCTTTGATTTGTTTTCCAAAATGTATTCAGAAAATTCTCTAAAATGAGGTGAATGTCTCATATTTTAAGTTTGCATAAAATCAACTTAACAAAAGTAATTCTATGAATAATGAGGATTAAAGTTTGTTCCTGCAACTTTATTCATGGCATTTATTTACTGGAGTAAATATTGAAATATGGTTTAAAATACTGGGCATTTTGTTTTAGGAATAGAAACTATTTCAGGTATTAAAGAAAAGTGTTTTACTTATCTTGCAACAGTAGAATTAGATTTGTTTAATCTAAAAATGTATTTTTGAGTAAATTTCAGAAAGTTTTCTTAAATGGACTACTGAAAATGTAAATGCATATCTTTTTGAATATTTTATATTAATATTTACTATTATCACTGTTTTGAATAGCTGAGTCGTTTAGGATCTAGTTCACTTACAAATATACCTGAGGAAGTCCGTGAACATGTAAAACTACTGTTAAATGTAACTCCCACTGTAAGACCAGATGCGGATCAAATGACAAAGGTGAGTACAAATGAATTCCTGCCTTAGGTGGAGGGACGAAAAATGGGGTAAAGTAGATTAAATGCTTCTAAAGCAAGATTTAGTCAGATATAGTCCCCAGATAACATCCGTATTCTTAAATGTGTTAAATATTCAACTTGTTTTAATCTTAAACAGTTAAATAATTTATGTATATAATTATTCTGATATAAAATTAAAATTTCAAATAGATAGAGTTCCAACAGTTACAATTCAATATGCAGAAATTCTGGACACCCCAAGAAATTGTAGCCCTCTGATTCACTCTTTTAAGCATGAATTTTAGTAGATAAATGGTAATCCTTAGGCCTTCAAGATATTTACTTAATCTTTCAATATTTTATTAGTTACATAAAGAAAATGTTACTGCCCAGCCGACTCACAACTCCTGATTCTGAAAATTTGAATACGGAAAAAGGATTTGTGTATTACTTCCTTATTCTGATTTTTATTAAGTGGTCTTTAGCATTTTGTAAAATGTTCCTGAATATTTTTTTACCATACTATGGTAGTTTCAGATATGAGAAGTACTTTAATATTTATCAAAATAATGTTATTTCCTTGTTTTAGATTCCTTTCTTTGATGATGTTGGTGCAGTAACACTGCAGTATTTTGATACCTTATTCCAAAGAGATAATCTTCAGAAATCACAGTTTTTCAAAGGATTGCCAAAGGTCCTACCAAAACTACCTAAGGTTTGTTGTTGATCAGTTTCTTATTATAGTCAGGATTTTAGAATTAAAGTTTACTTTGACTTACTATAATAACTCTCCCAAAAAAAGAAATGTAATTTTGCTTTAGGTGCATAAATGACTATAAAATGCTGCAGACTGAAGTCAAAAGTTTAGTGGACCTTCTTTGCATAGTTCAAAAATAATAAAAACGGGTAAAAAAATTGAGGATACTACCTATGCAACCTGTGCACTTGAACACTAAAGGTCTGAAGAGAAGTCCATAAGCTGCCATTGTGGAGATCACTGCCTCGCCAGCAATTAAGGGGATGCTTCTGTACTGTTACTAGCCTCTCCAGTTCCTTTAACTCTCCCTCTCTGGCTTATTAAATCATGAGTGTAATTAGTTTAAAAAATGTTGGGGAATGCTAAAGAAGCCACTGGTTGGAAAACTAGCAATTCCTGGTTGCAAAAAAATCTCCAGTGTTTATTAATCTGTCAGATATTCATTATGTACTGTTTGTCTAGCCTTTTACTTAGATGCTATGGAGATTAAAGAGGAAGCAAAATACTATCCTTGCTCTCAAGGCGCTTACAGTAAGGGTTGTTGCATGGAACAATTAACAATACAGGACAGTGTTTAAGTTGTGTGGTATGAATCGTAAGTAATGAAGGAATTAAGAGGAGAAAGATATTAGTGAAGACTAATTAGGGAAGTTTCCTAAAGGAAGGGTAACCATATCTTCCCTTTTATCTGTGACATTCCCAAGTTATGCCTTTTGTCCTGGTATAATTAGCAATTGCACCCCATTTTACTCTCAACCATAAATTATATGGTCACCTTACCCCAAGAGATTGGAGATTTTAGACTGTAACTTCAATGTTAATACTGAAGACCTGAAATAAAATTTAGTTTTATGAAAACATTTTTGTCTTTCAGCGTGTCATTGTGCAGAGAATTTTGCCTTGTCTGACTTCAGAGTTTGTAAACCCTGACATGGTACCTTTTGTTTTGCCCAATGTTCTACTGATTGCTGAAGAATGCACCAAAGAAGAATATGTCAAATTAATTCTACCTGAACTTGGCCCTGTCTTTAAACAGCAGGAGCCAATCCAGGTATGTATGTAGATTTTTTTCCTATTTATCTGCTGTTATTCAGTGATGTTAGTCAGTGATGACTATCATTAAAAACAAAAGGAATAGATATATGACTTTTTAAAAATTGAGGTAAGAGACTTTCCATTAGTCAGAAACTATTTTGCATATGTTTAAAGTGAACCATTCCTAAAATTATGATTGAACTTTGCAAGTAAATGTCTACAGCTTTCCATAAGTTACCATCTCAGAAAATAAATTGTAACGAGATTTTGCATGTGTTTTACTGTTCTCATTGGCCTTATTGAAAATTACAGGTTTGGGAAAAGAAGTATTTCTTTTTCTCCTGCAGTTTTAAGTATTTCTGTTTCTTTGTTTTTTGTTTGGTTTGTTATTCAGTTCTTTAATTTGTAGATGGTTTATGCCAGTTGGTTCTCTTTATTTTATTGCTAATACATAGTTTCACCAGAAGAGGGAAAATGCTTATAGCACCATGGAAGTAATATGTGTGTGTATTATAAGTGAAAAATGTAATTAGTCTCTGATGTAGACTCTTACGATGTTAATTTGCCAGATTCAAAATAGCCTTAGACTTAAGAGCAGTAGGGTCACACACCTGGGTTTGAATCTGGCCTTCTTAATCTCCTTACCGGAAGTATGACTTGGATAAGTCATTACTCTCTTAAAGCTTTCATTTTGCTTATTTCTAAAATGAAAGGGGTTGTTGAGATTAAATAAAATTTTCCTGGCACATAGTAAATATTATTACGTGTTTCTGCCACTGCATGGTAAAACAAATTATTAGTAAACTATCAATTACCTGATTTAATGGTTTTATGACAAGTTATTTGTGGTCCTTCCCTCAGAAGGAGGGAAGAGAGAGAAGTCTGGTGATAAGACAAGAGTTCCTATGGCTAAGGAAAGGGCAGGTGAGGGACGGTAGGCTGTGAAGCAGAGTTCCCCCCAAATGGTCAAGGTGTCAGGAGGGGAGGTAGTGGAGCCACATGTTCACTAAGCTGTGCATCAGTCAAGATAGTATCCTAAGGAACTCATCGTCTGAATTCTTAGTTGCATCCATTCTTTGGTATTATTTTTTTCTCTTAGTAGTCAGCTAAAAATTCCTTCTGAAACTTTTTAACTGAGCCTTGACAAAACTGTGCATTCTCCATGAATAGAAGGGGCAGTTGGTTCCTTGTAATTTAGGTATGTAGTAGCAGCCAGGTAAAAAACGAATGATCAGGGACAATTGAAAATGTTTCATTTTACAATTTTTCCTGATAGTCCTTTTCATTTCTGTACCTTTTCTTCTTCTCTTGAACTTCGTAGAAGCTGAGTGATGGAATTTACTTCCTTGGGACATCTGACTTTGCTGTCCTCAGGCTTTTATTTTTTTACCCAGTAGCTTTCCAGATAGTTGGTACTTTTGGGTGAGCAATGTATTACTGAAGATATGTGAGAGTTAGGAAATTAGTTTTTATTTAAATGTTTAAACTGAGAGCAGATGTTAAATATTGTCCTTCCAGAAATGTAAGAAACTTGATTTGTATGTTTTTGTTTTCCATGCCTTCAGGCTAGCAACATGGTAAGTGTTTTAATATATAACTTACTCTTTTGAAGATATTTTAAATTTTGGCATATATAAAATCTTGCAAAGATTCTAGACTTTGATACATTGTTCCCTTTTTCTACACAGATTTTGTTAATTTTCCTACAAAAAATGGATTTGCTACTAACCAAAACTCCTCCTGATGACATAAAGAACAGTGTCCTACCAATGGTCTACAGAGCACTAGAGGCTCCTTCCATTCAGATTCAGGTATAATATTTGATCTTTTTTCTTTGATGATAATTTTGATTCTTAAAGCAAAAGAAAGAAGTACATTTTGGGTTTAAGTCATAAAGTCTCCTATATAAAACTCAATAGTATATATTAATCCATATTGAATTGCATTATACACTGTTACTAAAATGTATCCACTCCTAACTAATTTAAAGAATCAGTTGACACATACCTGTATTAATGAAGTAAAATGATTAATTGCTTTTATTTATCAGAAAGGCACTATTGTAGAAGGTTTGATTTATTGTAGTTTGGATTATTTTATACCTTCTTCCTAAGTGGGTCACATATGAAATAAAATGTCAGAGATCTATGTGCCTTTTTCTTATGAAAATGTTAAGTAGGTACTTCCCATACTCATAATTTTCTTTCATGCATAGTAAGTCAGTCTTCTATTTAGAAATGTTATGCCTTCTGCATTGAAGTTAATCTGTATAGCAGGTAGATAGACAAGCAGACAGTAAATTAGTGTGACCATTCCTATTGCATTTATAGTCATGCTTTTGTGTCACAAAGGTGATGTTAAAGCGTCTTGCACTGTGCCAAACTTTTAGTTCTGTAGCTTTGCTTCTGTGGGCTATGTGTCTAGAAAAAAAAAAATTTTGGATCACTATTAAAAGTGTAATTTAGTTTCTTGGGCTTTTTTTTTTTTTTTACTTCAGAAAATAAATACTTATGTTAAGAACATCTCACTGGATAAATGGTTTCCTATGTAAAAGTTTATAGTGTCTTTGCCAGTATAGAAGTTCTGGTAAAGAAGAACGAAATTTTAATTTTTAGAGTTATTACCAAAGTTTTTTTTTTAATGTGAACCTAATACCATATGTATAAGGTCACTTTTATGGTCATTTGAGACTTTGCCTGCTAAGTTCTTTTGTTTATTCAAAGTTGTGAAGTTGACATTAAAATTTTTTCCTTCTAAGGTGATAGCGTCTCAAAAGTGAGGATATGCTGCGTTTGTCCAAATGACATGGCATAATTGGGGAAGGTGTACTTACTTCTATTTTTTAGCCCTTTCCAAAGGAGTTGTGAATTATAGCTTCTTGAAGCATTCCCACAGGCCCTATGTGGCCAACCTGGTTTTATATTCAGTGAGATTAGGAAGGAGGGAGACTGTTGAGTGACCTGGGCCATTTTTCTTCCTCGGGGGATTAGTTTGGCTAATAAGTATCAGCCACTGTTTTATTGAAATAGTTAATATATAATTCAGATCAACCTGTGCAACTTTGCTGAGTTTTAGAAACCAGCATTTCTGTTATCATTCAGTGTCTTTAGTCACCAGTCCAAATGACTAGTATCAACACTGCTTGGTAAGAGTCTGATAAAGTTAAAGCCTGTCTAAGTTTTGGGAGAGTCCTAGAGCAAGAGCAAGAAACAAAAGGCTTTATTTACCTCAAGCTTCATGCAAGTAGAAGGCTACAAAGTAACTCCTGAAATTCATTTTTGGAGTGATATTTTTAAAGTGAAGTTTGATTAGAATATTTAAGAGGCTAGAGAGTTTAGAAAAACATTTGGAAAAGTAGAAGGTGGTTTGCAAGAGTTAGGGTCTTTAGAGGCATTAATAGCAACGTATGTGTGAACCAGCTTTTTAACTTATTTACCTTTAAAATTAAACATGTAAACAATGACAAACAAACACATAGCAACAGAGATTGGATTGGTGGTTACCATAGGGGAAGGGAAGAGAGGGGAGGGCAAAAGGGGTGATTAGGTGTGTGGTGATGGACTGTAATTAGTTTTTGGGTGGTGAACATGATGTAATCTACTCAGAATTCGAAATATATTATGATGTACTTCTGAAAGCTATAATGTTATAATCCAACGTTACTGCAATAAAAAAATTAACATGTAAAACATGTAAACATTTTACATGTAAACATGTAAAACATGTAAAAGATATGTTCATTCTTCCCTCCTAACCACCAGTTATTAAGTATAAAATCAGGTGCAACTTCTTGAGAATGTGCTATTTGGACTTCCTTGAGTTTTGTTGTTTTCAGTCTCCTGTTCTTAGGTTTTTCATCCTATCTCCTCCTAGGGAGAGAGCTCTCTCCTCATTTAGCTAGTTAAGATTTGGTTTGTAAGTTAAGATTTGCCTTTTTGTAACCTACTGCTAGATTATACAGCATGATGCACTCATGAGCTCTCTCTCGTGCACACACTCTCTCCCTCTCATCAGTTAAAGGCTGATCTTCCATCAGGAGGCACCCTCTGGTAACAGGAGCAGTGTCTCACTGCCTGCTCACTCTGGTCCGTTCCTCCCATCTGTGGAAAATGGTTTTTAAATGTAGCTTATATTTCTTATCCTCAAATTATGTCACCCATTTAATTATTATAGTTCTGAGTGGATATAAACATGTAACTCCCTTATATCTACCTTTTGAAAATCTTGGAATACGTTAAAGCAAATAAAATACTGGCCAGTAGTTTGATAACAGATTCTTAGTACTTAATTCATTTCTGTCTGCAAATGGATATCTTTAAGTTTACCAAATATTGTCAATGATTCCTTCCTTGATACACATTTATACTTCCCTTTTCTTCAGTAATTTCTTCTCCTATACTGGGCTACAAGGATCATTCTTAATAAGGTATCTGAGATGTGTATTCTTCAGCCAGTTAGTTCTCAAGCCATTTCTTGTTCTTTTCCTTGTCTCAATTAATCCCCTACCCTCAATTATCCCCCTTTTTCGTCTGTTATCCTCAGAGTTCCCAGTTCCAGTCATTTGTAATATGGCAGGTATTAGTTAACAAGAATGTTTTAAATAACTTTTTCCTGTTTCTATGAGTTATACTTGCTTAAGTATCAGAATTTGGAAGTACTTAAAAATATTTTAAAAATTAAAATCCTCTCTCAGAGTTGCTCATAATGTTTTCAGGTATATTCTTGTAGTCTTTTTTTCCTGAGCCTGTAGACAAACACATGTACGTACACATTTTAAAAATTGGGATTATATAATAGTGTCTTAATGTGTTTTCTCCTCACTATTATTAAACTATCTTTTAAAAGATATTTTAAGAGTTTGTATTATATTCCATCATATGGATATTTGTAACAGCTAATTAATCCCTTATTTAAGAGGAATAGTTTTACGTGACTTTATATTTGATTTTCTCTCGTTGTGAAAGACAGGAAAACTTAGGTGTTTCTATTTTTATTTTTATTTATTTATTTATTTTTTGAGGAAGATTAGCCCTGAGCTAACATCTGCCACCAATCCTCCTGCTGTTGCTGGGGAAGACTGGGCCTGAGCTAATATCCGTGCCCATCTCCCTCTACTTTATTTTATTTATTTATTTATTTTTTGAGGAAGATTAGCCCTGAGCTAACTGCTGCCAATCCCCCTCTTTTCGCTGAGGAAGACTGGCCCTGAGCTAACATTCATGCCCATCTTCCTCCACTTTATATGTGGGACGCCTACCACAGCATGGCTTTTTGCCAAGCGGTGCCATCTGCACCCAGGATCTGAACCGGCAAACCCCGGGCTGCTGAGGCAGAACGTGTGCACTTAACTCCTGCGCCACCGGGCCGGCCCTGGTGTTTCTATTTTTAAAAATAAATGAGGAGTTGTGTTATCAGGGAAGGAAATTAGGAATGAGGCCAGAGAATTTTGGTACCATATGCTAGTTATATAACCTACCATGATTTCAAGTAAGGTCTTCTGAGCCTGTTTCATCTCTAGAATTAAAAACTGATAATAGCTTTTCTTCTTTCAAATAATTGTGGGAAGGACCAAATGATGTAAAATACATAAAAGTTTATTTCAAACTGTGTGACAAATTAGCCAGGCAAATGCAATTTTTCTTTTTTGCTGGGAAAGATTCACCCTGAGATAACATCTGTGGTCCATCTTCCTTTTCTTTCCTCCCCAAAGCCCCAGTATATAGTTGTATATTCTCTTTGTAGGCATTCTAGTTCTTCTGTGTTAGCTGCCATTACAGCATGGCTACTGACAGATGAGTGGTGTGATTCTGTGCCCAGGAACCGAACCTGGGCTGCCGAAGCAGAACGTGCTGAACTTTAACCAGTAAGCCATCAGGACTGGCTCGCGAAATTTTTTTTAGTATGTGAGAGAAAGGGTGAGAAAATCTTTCCCTAAGATTGATTTGATTTATTTTCTTAATAGGAACTCTGTCTAAACATCATTCCAACCTTTGCAAATCTTATAGACTACCCTTCCATGAAAAATGCTTTGATACCAAGAATTAAAAATGCATGTCTACAAACGTCTTCCCTTGCTGTAAGTAATTGCATGTTAATTTTTGTTTTTCTTTCACTTCTCGTTGGTTTAAATAATTTTCTTATTGTTTAATAACTCTTTTATAGTTCATTTATTTCATCTTGTCTGTAGGTAACCTATATGTAGTACTATAAAAGTGAGCATTAGCTATAGTTTCCTTGATGTATATGTTTACAATACTGCATCCCTGACCTTCCTCCCTGTCCCCTAAATTTTAATGTTTTAGTGGAAAATTTAAGTGATTTTTTTTTCTTAATCCTTTTCTGCTATAACTCACAATTCATTTTGTTGGTAGTTTTAAAATAATCATGAGATTTTTAACTTGGTGTATAAACCTAAACATTTTTTGATTGGCTTCCTTTTATTAACTGCCTCTTTTTTTAGTCATTTCTCTGTAAATTTTTTAGAGAGAAAAGTTTCTAAAGCCCCCGCTTAACTTGTCTACCTTCAAAAACAGTAAAGGGTACAATAAAGAAATAAATTAATAAGAGTGCAAGTGGGAGGAAATAGTTGTACTCAGAAAGCTAGGTGAAGAGTTGCATCCTTTGAATACAAAATTTTAACACTAAGTTACTTGGTAGTCAAGGAGGTAGAGTATATAACATAATTCTCATTGTCTCATATTGGGAGCAATAAATGTTCCCAACCTTTTTTCTAACACTAAATCATAAGAATTTATCTCTTTGATATTTCTTTATAGAAGTAACATTGAATACTCTCTTCAAATAGCAGCTTTAGAAAAGAGGAAGAAATATCCTTCCTTCACCTGATCAGTCATTATATTCATATTTGATAATGGGCATATTATTAAATTTCCATTTTATTAAGATAGTTCTTTGTAGATCTTATCCATCTGTATTCAGTGAAATGTGAATTTAAATAAAAATAAGCGTTTATAGCTTAATAGAATTATAGGCAAAAGGAATTTAAATAATGATGCGATTTTACCTTATAGCCGTCTCATCCATTTTAGTTCTTGCTTTTTTGGTAGAAAGGTTCTGAGATGGAAAACTACACCAGAGTAGAAAAATATATCATTGTTTACTGAAATGAACAAGTATGAGATGAAGTCAAGAAACCTGAGTTTTTATTCTGACTCTTTTAACTATCCCTGTTCCCTTGGACAAGTCACTATACCTCTCTGAGTCTCTTTCTTCATCAACATTAAACGGATTTGAAATACAGTCCTTTTCTCTGAAATTTTCTAATTTTATGATTGAATTTTCAAAATAGGTGGTAGTAATATACAACTTAAATTTCAGTTTTCAGAATTCCCTTTAAAACATCACATAAGTCATACTATATTTTATGGCAGCATAAATTTATTTTAGCCTACATTTTGTCAAGGTACATGTTCTAGTTCAGTTCTAAGTCTGTATGCAGAGTGATGTGGGAAGCATGGATTATTAAATTAAATGATCTGTATTAATGCCCAGGGATGTTTGTATCTCTTGTTAAGATGCCAACTGATCCCTTAAAGGTATATTGTTGACAAGGAGTTATAATGAATGTATTTAGAACAGTAACTCTGGAATGTGTTTGCATTTTATGTACTACGTTCAGTGCTCCCTACCTTCAGAGTGGCAAATGGGAATTCCTGAGTTGCATTCGTAGACATAGACTTCTAAGGTTTAGAAGTTCTAACTAGGAAATTCTTGAAACATGAGTCATGAATGAGAATTATATTCTAATACTGTTCCCTGAAAATAAAAATACATTCTACACAGAGTTAGGTAAAATGCTCTCAAGAGCTCTATTTCTTCGTGACTTATATGACTAATATTTTATACATCATTAAAGAAAATAAACTAGTATTTCCAGTTTCTCTTTATATGTGTATATGTACACACACGCACATATAAAGAATGCAGCAATTCCTTTTATAAAACTGATTCTAAGAGCAAGTTAAGCCTTTAGATATTTTTTGAATTTATAATTTACTTCTTATGTTTGAATTTCAGAAAACAGTTGTGCGTTACATTTCAGAAGTTTTTTTCAACTTTCTTGCAGAAATATGGTACTTTTGTAACCAGTTAAATTATTTTCTGCTTTTCTTAGTTTACTTTTTTTTGAAAACTGGAGTTTTATTGATATTATGATCCTGACTGAAAGTATGCTGTCTTAAATTCTGGCTGAAAAAATAGAGTGTGAAATATTTATCAAAATAGTCAAGTGAATATAGATAGAATTTTGATAAAAGAGCTCCTAAATGTCAGGTTTTAGTAACTGTGTTAAAGATTTAGAAACGGAAAACTTTATGTAAGACAAATATAGATATCTTCACATGTTGTTAAAATATTTAGTTTAAGGATGAATTGAACCTGAGTTAGAGAAAAGTACTGGAAGCCCAGTAAAATTGATAACTTGGTGGGAGAATGTAGTCCTTTTTATAATTCAGGTGTTCCCAAAGAAATGTTCTTAGTAAACATATATATAGTAAAGCTTCTCAATCCTAATCATTTTATTTAAAATGATAGAAAATTGAAGTCATTCCTTCCCTTTAGTTAACTGGTGTCTTGGTAAAGCAATCATAAATTCTTTCTGAAACAAGTCAGGGGAATTAGTAAATACCTGAATTTCCTTTATTAATAAAGGATAGGAGGTTTTAAACTCACTTTTATTCTTGAGATTTTAACATATATCTATGTGAAGATGAAATTTACATTTAAATATTTTGTTCTAGATTGCAAAGACTTTAAATGGCTAATGCACTTTATCTCTTTTAATAGGTTCGTGTAAACTCACTAGTGTGCTTAGGAAAGATTTTGGAATACTTGGATAAGTGGTTTGTACTTGATGATATCCTGCCCTTCTTACAACAAATTCCATCCAAGGAACCTGCAGTCCTCATGGGAATTTTAGGTAGTTGAAAACTTAACGTCATTTAATGCTACTTTATCATTTTATAGTCATGTAAATAAATTTTCCAATCTATAAAACAGTTGTACTCTTCTTTCATGTATATAGCATTCAGTAATTGAAGAATGATGGGATAACTGCTATGATATAACTTTTCTTTTTGTTAGTTTTGGCAAAAACCGTAGAACCTGGACATTACAAAGGAGTAAGACATTTGGGAATCCTGGTTTCACAATATCATGATGACATGTAGTTTTCTCTGTAAAATGGTACCAAATAAGAGGCAAACAAAGCTTCTTAAAATGCTCATACCAGCCTTAATAATAATACCTGATGTTTATTTGGTACTTAATTTGTAAGAGGCATTATGTTGAGTATTTTCTCTGCGTTATCTTATTTTGTCCTCTCCAAAATCCAGTGAAATAGTACTATTATTTCTCTCCTACAGTAAGGAAACTGAGAATCAGAGAAGTGAAGTAAGTTATTCAAGGTTATACAACTGATAAGTAGTAGAGCTAGTTTTTAATTTAGAGGTGTTTAAATCTTAACCAGTATGCTTCACTGATATGTGATATGCTGATGAAGTATCTTACCCTTACAGGCCATTCTGTTCTATCAGCATAATTACAAATTACTCTGTCAAGAAACTCTGAAATTGTTTATAAATAATTGAAGTTATGAAAATCCAATCTGAAAATTCTGGGGGTCTGTTGTACTAATAGAATCAGACATAGCTGTAGAATCACAAGAACATTAACAAGTTCACTTTTTTGCTAAATTCTAAGTTCTTTGTTAATTTTGAAGAAAATCTTTATTACTTGGCTGTGTATTTTTAACACTTACTATAGTGCCTGATCTATCGAAAGCCCTCAGTAAATATTTGTAGGAATGGTCAGCAAGTAATTTATTGTAGACCTCTGTAGACATAAAACTTTTGGGATATAATATGAAACTTTTGGGCTCAAAGAAATTAGTCTTCTTGAGAGGGATTTTGGCATAGTGGAAAGAGCTCTAGACCCAATCCTGGCTGTGGCAGTTCCTGGAGTGATTTTGAAAAGTTTCATCATCTATCAAATGAGAATAAAAATAACATCATTATAGGAGTCTTGTGAGAATTCAGTGAGACAACCAAAGGGAAAGTAAAGAGCATAGTTCCTAGCAAATAAGCAGAAGTAGATGCTCAATAAAGTTTCTCTTTGAGTATATAAGTGAAATGTACATTAACAGGAGAATAATAGGGGATGGTATGTTTTAAAGCCTTGGATTATATACAAAATGCGTATAACACAAAAGCATTCAGAGAATGAGGACCACCTTGCTCAGTTTACTAAATGAAGGCCTTGTGGAATAGGTGAAACAAGCAGGATCTTGAAGTTTGAGTAAATAGGTGAGACAATAGGGAAGGATTGTGTGGAGTTGAATTAAGTTATTAAGGTTCAAACATGTTGTCTGATTGGTTAAAGAAGTGAATAAAGGTGTAGGATCTATGCTTACACACTTTAAAGTAGATGTCTCAAGTTTGAGTGAGAGGTCTGAAATAAGTATTTAGATGTTTTCAGGATAGAGAGGCATTCTGTAACCTTACTGCTGCACTGTAAGAACTGTACTTAGTTCTGATAGGATTTTTTTTTTTTTGGTGAGGAAGGTTCGCCCTGAGCTAACATCTGCTCCCAATTTTCCTCTTTTTTTTTTTTCCTTGAGGAAGATTAGCCCTGGGCTAACACCTGTGCCACTCTTCCTCTGCTTTGTATGTGGGATGCCTTCACAGCATGGCTGATGAGTAATAGGTCCATTCCCAGGGTCTGAACCTGTGAACCCAGGCTGCCAAAGCTGAGAGCATGGAACTTTAACCACTTAGCCACAGGGCCAGACCCGCTGATAGGCTTTTAATGTTAAAGTGTCATTAAATGTGCTCTTAAACCAAAAGGATACAGGGTAAATAGGTCATGGTGTTTAAATCTAAACTGATGATAAAGCTGAAATCATTCTAATTTGTAATAAGCACATCCTTGTTCTAAGCACAGATAGGGAGAAATTTGTAGCTACACTACTTATCATGAGATTTTATGTAGATACACTGTTTTCCTAATTTCTGTTAATTTGTGGTGTTGAATTATAAAATTTGTCTCATTCTTTTCTAATAGGTATTTACAAATGTACTTTTACTCATAAGAAGTTGGGAATCACCAAAGAGCAGCTGGCTGGAAAAGTGTTGCCTCATCTCATTCCCCTAAGTATTGAAAACAATCTTAATCTCAATCAGGTAGGAGTGGTTTTATGCTTTATTCAGTTTATTCAGCTTAATTGTTTTCTTGGCATTAAATATGTATATAAATATTGCTAAAACAAGGAAAAATATGCCACAGAGTTAAAGAAAGTTTGTGGGTCCAGAGTAAGGAGTATGTGAGGTGGAAGAATGGGTTTTTGAAGGCTTCATTGGGAGATACTAAATGAACAGAATGTTGAAAGATGTGTAGGATTTAGGGGTACTTCAAATTGGGGGCTGGGAAGTGGACATGAACAAAGAAAAGATTTGTTGTAATGTATCTGGGGTATATATTCATTATTTATTGTTACTTAACAAATCACCACAAACTTCATGATTTAAAACAACATGCATTTATTATCTCATAGTCTCTGTGGGTCTGCCAAGCCAGGGATGGATTCTCTGCTCAGTTTCTCACAATACTGCCATTGGGCTGGGGTCTCATCTGAATGCTCAACTAGGGGAAAGATCTGCTTCTAAACTCACTCACATGGTTGTTGGCAGGATTGAGTTCCTTTTGGGCTGTTGGACTGAAGGCCTCAATTTCCTAGCTCTCTGTTAGTTGGATGCCACCATCAATTCCTTGCTTCACGGGCCTCTCCAACATGGCAGCTTATTTCATCAAATCCAGAAAGAGAGAGAGTCTGCTAGAAAGATGGAAGTTATTAGTCTTATAATGTAATCAAGTAAATGACATCCCATTAACTTTGCCGTATTCTGTTGGTTACGGGCAAGTCATAGGTCCTACTCACGCTCAAAAATGGGACTACACAAAGGCATGAGTAGCCAGAGGAGATAATTGGGAATCATTTTAGAATCTGTCTGCCATAGGAAATGAATAATCCAGTTTGACTGAGAGATACCTATAATACAATAAGGGAGTAATGGGAGAAAACAAATTGAGAATACAATTAAATGCCTGTCTGGTTTAGATATTTGAACCTTCAAGATGGGGTAAATGTTTGAGCGAAGGGGTAATGTGTTCAAAGATTATTATAGAATTATCTCTCTATATACATCTGTCACTGTAGTATCACAGCTATGTACTTAGGCGTCTTACTCCCTTGGAAGGCTGGTTATTATAGCTTATTGTTCATTATATCCCCAGCACTTAGTGCAGTGCCACAAATAAAAATACTTATCAAATTGAGAGAATTTGAGGTACAGAGTAATGACAAGGTGTTTTGTTGACCATAGAACTGGTGTTTAATGAAGTATAATGGGAAAGACTGGGAAGGGTTACTGTTCAATTGAGAGTGTCAGAAATGGATAGGCAGGCAAGATTTGGAATTAAGGACTGAAAGTGAATTAGAGCAGTGAAGGAAGCAGAAAGCTGGGAGTTAAGCAAGAGAGCTTTTGGCATAGGAGAGATGCTAAGTGAATGGAGTTTTGGAATTAGTGTAATCTGTAAAATTAGTCAGATCCAAAATTTAATTTGAAGTGGTAGGGTAAGCATCTGAAAGTTTGTGTCCCTAGATTTCAATTTTTGGCTTGATAGTTTCTTCGTATCTTGGATGGCAGGGTTGAGGTTATGACTGGCAAAAAGAGCAACAGTGAATCTTGGAGAAGAATAGGATAATAATATGCCTGATAGTCTTCAACTTTTGGTCATTTCTGTTGTTACTTCTCGTATTTATGATTTGGAGTGTTTTAAAATACTCCTGAATGCTTATTTCAGGATATATGATTCCATTTGAAACGTGTTAGTTTTCTTCAGCTTTGTGGTTGATTTTTTTTTTTTCGAGGAAGGTTAGCCCTGAACTAACATCAACTGCCAATCCTCCTGTTTTTGCTGAGGAAGACTGTCCCTGAGCTAACATCAGTACCCATCTTCCTCTATTTTATATGTGGGATGCCTGCCTACCATGGCTTGATAAGCCGTGCGTAGGTCCACACCTGGGATCCAAACCAGCAAACCCCAGGCTGCTGAAGCAGAATGTGCGAACTTAACCACTGTGTCACCAGGCTGGCCCCTGTGGTTGATTTTTAAGAAACCTATTTTCATCAACAGAAATAGTTTGATTCATATCTTCTGGTATTTGACAGTACAGTAGTCCCCCCCTTATCCAAAGGGGGTGCATTCCAAGACCCCCAGTGGATGCTTGAAACTGCAGACAGTACCAAACCCTATACTGTGTTTTTTCCTATAAATACATACCTATGATAAAGTTTAATTTATAAATTAGGCACAGTAAGAGATTAACAACAATAATAATAAAATAGAAGAATTATAATGATATACTGTAATAAAAGCAACCTCAGCATATGATTTTTTTTCTTTAAGTTGAGAACTTTCACCTTTTCACTTAAAGGAAGTGCTTTACAGCTTCTTTTTGGCATGTTTGAATCGCCAGCATCACTACTCTTGTGCTTTGGGGCCACTATTAAGTAAAATAAGGATTACTTGAACACAAGCACTGCAATACTACAACAGGCCATGGCTACTAAGTGACTAATGGGCAGGTAGCGTGGATATGCTGGACAAAGAGGTGATTCACATCCTAGGCCAGACGGAGTGGGACGGCATGAGATTTCATCATGCTCCTCAGAATGGCATGCAATTTAAAACTTATGAGTTGTTTCTCTCTGGAATTTTCCGTTTAATATTTTCAGACCGTAGTTGGCTGCAGGTAGCTGAAATTATGGAAAGCAAAACTGCAGATAAGGATGGGGGGCTTCTATAGTTATCATGGACATGGTCTGCTTTCCTATTATTTCGTGGACAAGTTTCCTAATTCAAGTTTGCTGTGTTGTTAGTTCTGATTTAAAATAATCTAAGTATATTATGCATTATATGAAAAAGACAAAGTAACTTAGGAAAATACAGTTTTAGCATTTGATTAAAAAACAGCAAATAGCATGTAGCAATCAAAGTAATCACAACTTGTGTTGGAGTGTTCCTAAGACCATCCTCAAATTCAGTGTTTGACTAGTAGGACTCACAGGCCTCAGCATATCATTGTGCTCACAGCTATGATTTATTATAGTGAAAGGATATAAAGCAAAATCAGCAAAGGGAGAAGGCTCATAGGACAAAGTCTGGAGGAAACCAAGGTCAAGCTTCCAGAATCATCTCCTTGGAGTCACAAAGATTGCACTTAATTTCCCTGGTAATGAGTTGTGACAATATTTGTGAAATGTTGCTAACCAGGGAAGCTCGTTAGAGACTTAGTGCCCAGAGTTTTTACTGGTAACTGATCAACTACCACCCTGCCTGTCATGTAATCAGATTCCAGACTCCAAGAAGGAAAGCAGGTGTTCAGCGTAAAACATTCTTTGCGCAGTTTAGGCACAGTGAGCCACTATCATCCTGGACACCACCAAGGACCAAGCTCGCAAGCAGGCCTTTCCAAGGACAGCGGTTCAGGCCTACTGCGCCAACCACATGCAACAAGATGGATGAACTGCTCAGACATGATGTTGAGCAAATGAGGCCGGACACAGAAGAGGACCTACGGAATGATTCCATTTACACAAAGCACCAAACAGTCAGAACTACACTGCTGGAAGTCAGAAGAATGTTTACTCATAGGGTGAGGGGTTGGGAAATAACTGGAAGCGGGGAGCACAAGGAAGCTCCTGGGGTCCTGCCAATGTTCTGTTGGTCCTCTGACCACTGGTTCAAATCAGTTTGTGAATTTTTTGAGATGTGCACTTGTATACTCTTCTGTTGGTATGTTATATTTCATTAAAAAGTTCAATGATTTTTAAATGACCTAATTTGTCTTAAATTGACTCTAATTAAGGAGTCAGTCATGGTAAACTGCTAAGGAAATATGCCTTTAGTTACCCTCATAATAAGACAAGGGATAAACGGATGATAGAGCATGGTGAGAAGCAGTGTAATGTAGTAGAAAAGAGCACAAACTTTGGAGACAAACTTAGTATGAATTCTAATTCTGCCGTACGTTATTTAGTATCTCTGAGTAAGTTGCTTTCTCTCTTGCTGAGCCTGAGTTTTCTCACTTATAGAATAGAAATACTAATAAACCTACTTTGAAAAGTTGTGAGGATTAATAAAAGAGTGTACGTATAAAGCACCTAGCACAAAGATGTAATTATAAGATTTGGGGAGGGAAAGAAAGCAGTTTCTAGATTCTTCCTGTAATATATGGTATTATTCAAATAAATTATTTATGATGACCCTGAAGTACTATAAGAATTATCATTTAACCAAAGTTTAACCAGCGCTAAACTGTGTTAATATATAATGTTAGATGTACTTTATGAACATTAATTATTTGAGAGTTAGGTTATGTACATTTAATATTTCTACAAAATTTTTAGAAAACAAGGTTTATTTTAGCAAAACGTCTTTTTTATAACGATCTGAATAAATAATAATTTTTATGCATTATTAAACATATTGTTTGACATATGGACAAATTCAGATGGTCCATTTTGGATTATTTTAGGAAAATCTATATATAATAACTGCCAGGGGTGAATTTATATAATACTCCTGAATAAGAGCTGTTAGACATCTCAGGATAGAAAACTTATTGAGACGTGTTATGTAAAACTTAAAAGACTCATCAGCTATATCACCACCATACAGAGATATTGTAAAAACTTGCTATGATATGCTGAGTTTAAATATACTATTCTTGTGACATCAGTGCTATGAGTGGGTCGTATTCTGGTAAAAATAGAGAATATTATGATTAACTCGTTATATTATCTTATTAGATTACATTAGCTGCTAACTGGAAACATCATAACCATATCAATTTCTCATTATACCAGTTCAATTCTTTCATTTCCGTCATAAAAGAAATGCTTAGTAGATTGGAGACTGAACATAAGACTAAACTGGAGCAACTTCATATAATGCAAGAACAGCAGAAGTAAGTAGGCTGCATATGAATTGCACATTGTCCAAGAGTGAGATTAAAGTTGTCTCCTGTTGATTTTCTGGAATATGGACTAGAAAAACTGATGAATTTCAATTTGACCATGTATAAGACATTTAAAATTTTTCCAGAATATTGAGTTGAACTGAGTTAAAATAGAATGTTGTTGAAAATCTAATGTCATTTCTGAGTACAAAAGTGTAATATGATATAATCTTACCATTTTCTCTATATAAAGAAAATTCTATTTCTGAGACAATCACTTGTCAGCATTAGCCACTGGCATGGTAAACTCAGGGAACTGATAACCAAGAGTACCACTTATAAATATTTTTCAAATCTGTGAAACCCTGGTGTTTTGATTCCCCCGTCTCTTTCCTCTAACTCCAGAAACATTTATAGAAAGCATTTATTTCCTATGTAATACCACAACATCTACGTCTTCTTTTTTAGAGAGCATTTTCTAAATTATTTGCAAAATACTAGTATTCAAAGGAAGAAAAGAAAGGTGGAAATTATTCACTGGAGAATGCCAGTTTATTAAAATCAAATCTCCACTACATTCTTTGCCCCAGAGAAAAACACATGATTTTAAGATGCCTGTTAAAGTCGAATATCCTGAACCAAAAGACATCTGAAAATCAGTAAAATTGATGTTAATCATGAGCAAGGTCCCTAAATAGAAACTTTTTACCTTCTCCCCCAGTGTAAGATGAAGGCTAATGGAAGTACATACGCAAGGATAGAGTGATAGGAAATAGCCTTTTGTATGCTCTCAAGTGTTCTGTGATGTATATATTTATGATGTTTGATGGATTGGCTATATTAACATAGGAATCCTGAGAAATAATTTTTGAAAATTTTTAATAGAAATTTTTGATGTCTAGTATTTATTCTTTTTTGTTTTTTTAAAGATTTTATTTTTCCTTTTTCTCCCCAAAGCCCCCTGGTACATAGTTGTATATATTTTTTTAGTTGTGGGTCCTTCTAGTTGTGGCGTGTGGGACACTGCCTCAGCATGGCTTGATGAACCGTCCCATGTCCGTGCCCAGCATCTGAACCGGTGAAACCCTGGGCCACCAAAGCTGAGCGCATGAACTTAACCGCTTGGCCATGGAGCCAGCCCACTATTATTTATTCTTTTTTTTTTTTTTTTGAGGAAGATTAGCCCTGAGCTAACTGCTGCCAATCCTTCTCTTTTCACTGAGGAAGATTGGCCCTGAGCTAACATCCATGCCCATCTTCTTCTACTTTATATGTGGGACGCCTACCACAGCATGGCATGCTAAGTGGTGTCGTGTCCACACCTGGGATCCGAAACGGCAAACCCTGGGCCACCGAAGCGGAACGTGGGCACTTAACCGCTGTGCCACTGGCCAGCCCCCACTATTATTTATTCTTGAGGTGTAAATGAACCTTCTCTTTTTCTTCTTCCTATCTAAATCCTACCTATTTTTTAAGGCATAGATCTGGCCAACATCACAGTGATGATAGCATTTATTGTTAGGATCACAGATTCTGAACTTAATCACATTAAGTTCCCCATATCATATCTTGTCTCTAGTGAGCTCTAGCTTTCTGATGGTAAGAACCATGCCTGCCTGGTTTTGTGACCCCCTGAGTCAATTCTTCAGTAAATCTCAAAAGTTGAGATTAAAAAAAAGACGTGTATACAAATGTTAATATTTTGGGTAAGCAGACATTAATTGTAGTAAATAATGACAAAGATTATGACTCTTCTTAAAGAATGAAGTTGCAGTTTGTTGAGGTTTTAATAAATTCCATGTGGATGAACTATTTTTAGTAGGAGCATTTTGAAAATATGCATTTTTTTTTATTGCTTTGTCATAATTCCTCTCTCCTGCAGGTCTTTGGATATAGGAAATCAAATGAATGCTTCTGAGGAGACAAAAGTTACAAATGTTGGGTCGCAGGTAAGAAGATACTTAGATTATTTTAATTTTTGTAATTAAAGTCAAGTGCTTGACAGTGTGCTTCATTTCGTTGACTTTTGATCTTTAAGCAGTAAAATCACAATTTTTTCATGTCATTCAGGTGGTTGACTTTTTTCTGTTTCAGCAGATTGACAAAGTCTTTAACAACATTGGAGCAGACCTTTTCACTGGTGGTGAATCAGAAAATAAAGACGATGGGTTACAGAATAAACATAAAAGAGTAAGTTCTTTACTGTTCTTTTAGTACTCTCATTTATGTTATAGGACTTCCTGTAAACCATAGATTTTTGTTGGGAAATACTGCTCAGCATCTTAACAAGAAAAATTCTTTAATTATCTTTATGAAATTTAAAAGTTATCAGTGGAACATGATCTGACCCATGTTGGGAATAAACCAGCTTAAGATTTCTAGCTTCCTTTATTACTCACCTTCCCACTGGGTAACATTTCTAGATTGCCTGAGTCCTTTTGTTCTTTCTGCTGCACTTTACCAGTCACACCCCTTGATAAATTCCACTCTCTCTCTTCTCTGCTTCTTAGTTTGAATAACAAACTATAAAATGTTATTTCCCATTGAAATATTGGTTAACATCCAATACAAAAAATATGTCAATTTTGGGTTTCTGTTGAGGGCAGTTTTCTTCTATTCATTCAACAAATATGAGTACCTGTATGTGTTAAACCAGGGACCTACTAGACATTGTGATTTACAAAGTTATAAGAGAATATACTGTGAGCTTAAAAGTTAGCAAGGTTGATAAAAGAAAGAGACAAACATGAATTTGATGCAGACATTAGCAGTAAAAGAAATTGTTCACTTCTTAGCTTTTAGGTGAGTTCCTAAAATATTTTTGGAGTGAGGTAGTTTAGAATCGAAGAAGAATTTCCCAATTTTAGAAAATGAAATCACCTAATCATATTCTCATTGTCTGGAAAAAGATGATTCTAATGAATGGTTTTAAAATAATTGTTTTCATACTAGAAATATTTTAGCACACATCTTGTGAGTTTCTACCTAAAGTTAAATCTTATAATAATTCAAAATATAACTTACCTGTGGCAGTCAGCAATACAGGAGTAGTTTGCAAACTACTTGGTATTGTAAAACATACCAAGACATACTTTACAGGGAAAAAAAGAAGTCTTTTGCTTTACAAATGGACTTACGAAGTTGCTATTTGATTTTTCATATTATTTTGTTTTAAGGCATCACTTACACTTGAAGAAAAACAAAAATTAGCAAAAGAACAGGAGCAGGCACAGAAGTTGAAAAGCCAACAGCCTCTTAAACCCCAAGTGCACACACCTGTTGCACCAGTCAAACAGGTCAGAGTTCATTTCTTTTTGCATAATTTCAAGCGTACTACTTCTAAGGAGTAAGGTAGTATGGAACTTAGTCTGCTTACTACTGTTTGTATTAAAAGGTATTTCAGAGAATACTTTAATATGCAGCGTCTAAGAAGTATGGGCATAAAGATTTTTCCAACAAATTCTAAAAGCCTGCTTAAAGTATAATGTTTCATGACAGTGCTTGTTATCAATGAAGAGGAAACTAGATGAACAAGAGGGTTTCTTAAAATTATTATGTCTTAGGGCTGGCCCAGTGTCATAGTGGTTAAGTCTGCACACTCCACTTCAGCAGTCCAGGGTTCATGGGTTCAAAACCTGGGTGCAGACCTACACACCACTCATCAAGTCATGCTTAACTGTGTCCCACACACAAAATAGATGAAGATTTGCACAGATGTTAGCTCAGAGACAGTCTTCCTCAAGCAAAAAGAGGAAGATTGGCGACAGTGTTAGCTCAGATCTAATCTTCCTCACACACACACAAAAAGGTACTAATTCAACTATATTCATTTTGAAATGCTCAGGAAGATTATATTCATGCATTTACATATTTTTGAGCAAAAAGTTATTTTCACTTTTTGGCTTTCCAATTAAGGAGAGATTTGTAACTTGGCTGAGGGATATTTACCTATATGTCCTGACCAATGTTTATTTCCTGCTGTGGTCCAGGCACTGTTCTGCATGCTGGTGCTGTAGCAGTGATTAAGGTCCTTACTCTTACTGGTTTCAGAAAAAACTATCTTAAAAAGTTTCTTTAAATTATTTTTTTGTTACCTCTTAATCACTAAAATTCTTCCTCTGAGAAACATCTTTGTGGGCCAAGAGGCAAAAGCAAGAATATTCTGTAGATACTTATATAAGAATAGAAAAAAAATTTTTCACAAAATTTTGATGAGATTCAAAATATAAAAATCATAGAGTATCCTTTTTTGTAATACAGATTATCTACTAATGAGAAGAATGCAATTCTGTTTTTTAGGGGGATGGGGGAGACAACATTTTATTTTTTTTTTCCTTCTTCTTCTCCTCCCCAAAATCCCCCAGTACATAGTTGTATATTCTAGCTGTAGGTCCTTCTGGTTGTGCTATGTGGGATGCCACCTCAGCATGGCCTGATGAGTGGTGCATGTCTGCGCCCAGGATCTGAACCGGCAATACCCTGGGCCACTGAAGCGGAGCGTGTGAACTTAACCACTGGGCCATGGGGCCTGCCCGACAACATTTTATTTCATTGGAATTTAAAGTTAGTGTTTGCTATCATCAAATTGATTATACATGTTCATCTGTAAAAACCATACAAAAATATGTGGCAGGCTGGATTGGCCTATGGGCTATGGTTTGCTGACTTGGTGTAGACTGTTGAGCTTAATTTTAACTTGACCTTTATAGTATAATCTATCAAGTATTTACTAATTATAAAGTAATTTGGAATTTTTGGAGGTAGAGTAATTCTCTCATATTTTTCAGACTAAGGACTTGACGGACACGTTGATGGATAATATGTCGTCTTTGACCAGCCTTTCTGTTAGTACCCCTAAGGTTTCTGCTTTAAGTACCTTCACTTCTGTTCCATCCATGGACCTTGACATGATGTTTTCTACACCAGTTGATAATACAAAGAGAAATATGACAAACGGCCTAAATGCTAACATGGGCTTTCAGACTTCAGGATTCAACATGCCAGTTAATACAAACCAAAACTTCTTCAGTAGTCCAGGCACATCTGGAGTGACCAAGATGACACTGGGAACACCTTCCACTTTGCCAAACTTCAGTGCTGTGAGCGTTCCTCCTGCTGGTGCGAAGCAGACTCAGCAAAGACCCACAGATATGTCTGCTCTTAATAATCTCTTTGGCCCTCAGAAACCCAAAGTTAGCATGAACCAGTTATCACAACAGAAACCAAATCAGTGGCTTAATCAGTTTGTACCTCCTCAGGGGTCTCCAGGTATGGGCAGTTCAGTAATGGGAACACAGATGAACATGATAGGACAATCTGCCTTTGGTATGCAGGCTAATCCGTTCTTTAACCCACAGAACTTTGCACAGCCACCAACTACTATGGCCAATAGCAGTTCAGCTAGCAATGATTTAAAAGATCTTTTTGGGTGAGGTGTCTTGCTCCTATTTTTGAAGGATTACTTCAGTTTTAATCATGGGTGAGCTGATTTACATCTTTATATAGTTGGCTTGGAGGAACTACTTCTATGGGAGACTGAATGGTTCTTTGACAGAAAACACCTGTTTCCATGCCAGCATAGTAGTTGTACAGACTCCTAACAGTTGAGTTTTTTAAAGCATTGAGGATTTTTTTCCTCTTCCAAACTCCTCTTCAGGTTTTTAAAAGACCCAACCTTTACCAATCTCAAAGAGAAACAAGACACCTGAGTATCTTGAATAGCAGAATTTTTTAATCAAATGTTTATTTTGGCTTGTATATCTTGGTGTTATTTAAAAAATTGAGTTGATGGTAATTGCAAGTTTCATCTGTTAAATACTACATGGTACAAAATCTGCCTTCTCAAGTCATTAGTCTTCATTTTGATATGTGAAAAATCTTGATGCTGTATTGATTTGTTTGCATTTAGTATGACGGAGAAAATGATAATGAAAAGGATCAGATCACTTGCTTTTTTCAATCTTACTCGCTTCTCAGATGAACTAATATTTAGTACAAAAGACTGAGCAAATACTGCAAAATTTAACTTAATGTTGATTTCATTGGTTGAAGTAAAGGCATTATTAACCATCTTAAATGCAAACTAATCATTATAAATTATGTTGTAGCATGGTCTGCCTCAAATAGTAATGTATTTTTCTGCATTTACTTGGATATGTTTAGAATCATTTTTTTCCTACTGTATCACAGACCGAAGAGGTATGTACTGATTTGTATGGGTATTCAACAAAGCCCTCTGATGTGATTTCCCTGACTACTGCCTTCATATTTCGTTTTGAATTAAAACTTCTGAGGGTACAGTATATATGAATTGCATTTTCAAAAGGAAATTTGTAAGAATCAAACTATATTTAATGAGTAATCTTTTGAGATTCCTGTTGTATTGTTTTAAATGTAATAAACTTTACTTCTCTAAAAATGAGCAGTTGTATCTTCTGGCTACCAACAGATTAATTTTCTGCTTACCATGATAAAGTCTGACCTCATCGATTACTGCGACTGAAATTTAATTCTTGGAATTTCAGGAACCTTTTGTTCGAACATTTTCATTTTCATAATTAGCCATCTTTAGGACGGAAAAAATAAATTATTTTAACAAGAAACGTGCTTTATTTTTCAAAGCCTTTCTCATATTTTTCTTTGATTTGCTGATTATTCAACCATGGAGCCTTATGCTATAAATGTCATTTGTATTTTGTTAAATTATATTCTATCATTATGTAATAATTTTTAAATGATCTCTCAGAGAATTATATATGTATTATAGTTGCTGCCATAGAGTTTGTGGTTTTTAATTATCTGAAACCAGCAATCATTTAAAGTAAATCTTATGAAGTTTAGTGTGTTGATACTAAGTTTATTCATTGAAATAGATATGTATACATACACTAAATATATACATTGAATATACAGTACTTGATTATAAAATGTAATTTGATAATGCTGGCAGCATTCAGTAAGAGGGTACTTTAGAAAATAAAAAGTCGGCTTTACATCTGGTTTCTATATGATCTGTACTTTGTTACAAGGTTTTAGAAAAGGACTTATAGGAATGCTGAAGAAATTTATCTGAGAAATGAAAAGCACTAGGAAGAGCAAATATTTTTGTCAAATACATTCACACCTTGACCAGATTATCTGTCTTGTTTGTAACACAATATTAATATTTCTCTTGAGAAAAGTTTACTTATGGAATAAAACTGGTTAATGTTGAAGAATTTTTCTTTGTAACAATTCAGTAGTCCCTCTTTATTAGGAAATTGTTTTTTGTTTTGTAAAATAACTTGATGTCAGTGTTGAACTCCTAATTAGAAGGAAAGCTTAATAACAACATACGATTCGAACTACCAAATATAAAAGTAGATTATTTGAAAAAATATAATATATAATGCTTAGGTAATTTTCACATCTTGAAATTTGCTCATTCATTGAGATAATGGTGCTACATTTTTGGAAATTTTTCCTACGCTTTTTTTCTACTTTCTTGAAGATATTTTATTTAAATCATTTCCATCAATTGGACTGTTACCATTGCCTTTTTCTGTTGAGAAATTTCCTCTGAAAAATAGTTCTATTTTTAGCCTTGTACTTCTCCTTGAACAAAACTTTCAAAGTACTAGATCACCTTAAAATTATTTCAGATATTAACATCATTTAAGTCTCTTGTGCTTAGAGTAGAAAATTGGTAGCACCTGTAGACAAAAATTTCAGAAAGATTCCCTTTTATTTCAATTGGTTCTTTATTCTCCTAATGCTAAAGTGTGTGATATATGTGGAGGATGTATAAAAGGAAATGAAAATAGACCATGTACTTGACTGGGTTTTGTTTGTTTTTGTTTTTATTTTGGAATGCTTATAATCCTTCTTTTCACCTGAATAAGTTAAGAAAGTAGGTTTTTGTTAATATTTTTTTTAAGCTGTAAAATACCTCACAATTGCTTTTACATATTAAAGGAAAGAGTATATGTGGAAGTACCTGATAGCAAGCACAGAGTATGCACCAAATAAATTTTAGCTTTGATAAAACTTTCCATATTAAGTTGTGATTTCATGCTTTGTGATTTATTGGTCTTGAAATAATTTTAGAACAAAATGAATCTGTAAGAATTCAAACTATATAGGATATTAAGAGATTATTTACTTCAGTGGCTTTCAAGCTGTAATTGTGACACTTGGTAAGAAATATATCTTATGCTGCAAACCAGTATATAAAATATATACCAGAAACAAAAGTTTTAGAAATTGTCTTTAATACATGTTGTATATTCTCGTATTTTTTTTAGTCTATCCTATTTATTGGGGGAAAAAAAGGGCTGGTTACAATTGCTAAAAGGATTTCGTCATGTAGTTTGAATAAAACTGAAATAATTCAGCCTTGTCTTTCTCCAGGCCGATGTAGAAAGAGGGCCAGAGACTTACATGCTAACCCAAGGAAGTCAGAGCCAGGAATAGAAGCTAGATTTTTTCCTAATCTGCAATCCAATGCTCTGTCTACTGTGTTGCATCCTTTATATCTTTTATTGTATGAATTCTTCTAGATTTGCTTTTGTTGAGACCTTTATACAGCAAGTATGTGTTCAGTATTAATTGGATAACATAAATATATTAGAAAAATTGCCACTGAAGAGGGAGAGGGAGATGACAGAACAGAAATGTTTATAGTCAGAATCAGCCTCTGGGCTGCTTCTCTGAATTGTGAGTTAGGAGGGCTGGGGGAGCCAGGTTGGCAGTGTTTGCAGTATCCAGACTGTAGCAGAAAAAGCATGTAACCTCGGAGAGTGGGGGTGCACTGGGAAAAGCCGTTTCACCAAAATCAAGCTTGTTGGAGGTTAGAAACTATTTCTGTCCAAAGCAGCCGGATTGCTCCAGCCACTACCTGGGCTGCAAGCCACATATGTAATTTAAAATTTTCTAGTAACCACATTAAAAAATAAAAATAGTTGAAATTAGTTTTAATATATTTTATTTAACTGAATGAATAGAGCCAAAATGTTTCAACATAGAATTGGTATAAAATTTAACGAGATATTTTACATTCTTTTTTTTATACCTAGTCTTAGAGATCCAGTCTATATTTACACTTAGCACATGTCAATTCAGGTTATTCACATTTCAGGTACTCAGTAGCAATGTGTGGCTAGTAACTATTAGATAGTGTACTGAACTATGGCAGTTATCAAGTTACTGTCTTCCAGCTCCAAATCCATCTTCTCTTCCCTGCTTTGTAATACTGGAGCTATGAGATAAACTTGCCTCTTTCACCAGCTTGGCAGAATGTTAGGCTTCATCGATAGAGGGCCCTTGACGTGGCATTGCAAAGCAATAGCAAGAACACATTTCACTTCTGGGTTCTAGTTCTCCATCTTTATTCACCATAGGAGCCCAGCAACCCCAGCAGAGGAGCTCCAGCTGTGCCTTAGGTCACTGTCCCAACTTGGGTGCTGCCACTTTGGAGCAGCTCAGCCATTCCCTCAGGCAACTGTCTCCCACCCTGTGGACTGTGCCTTCTGACAAGTTTCTTCACCACTGGCAGACTGCACGTTCCTGTGGAAACCATGCCCTCTCCAGAGAAGTCTCAGCCTGGGGGGGTGGGGGAAGGAGAGAGGCTCTCCTAGTCTTTAGTTCCTTAATTTTTTTTCACTTTCTCTTATCCTAGAGGTAGTAGCTGCTTGGTTTTTCTTTTTGCAACTGCTACTTCTATACTCCTTCGAGCCCTCTTTTATTCCTTTAAATAGTTAACCACCTTTTAGTAGTTAACAATTATTGTATTAAAATTTCCGTGTTCAAATATCTGGTCCCCTGACCTCACCCTCAGTGATACACTCCTGAATCTACTAAGCCTTTTTAAAATGGGGCCAAATGATGTATCTTGATGCTGCTAACAAAAGCCATATGGAATTATATTTATCTAGCCTATAATAAAAACTTTCCTTTCTTAAAAGTTCTTTTGAAATGTGCCTGTAGTGGAAGTTTGGTTTAGCTACTTTATACTTATTTGATGCAGTTCCAACTTTTACGCTTTTTTTCTTTCTACTTTTTGGGTATGTTTTTCCTTTGTGTGGTGGCCTAGGTTAGTAGGGAAGCCAGTGTTTGACTTTCTTATAAAAAAGTAAATGAAATCGAGACTTTAATGTCTAGAATTTGAACGTAGGAATCAACATTCATGCAGGTCTCTTCCAAGTCTGTGTCCTTAAGCCTGCCAGTGTTTCTAAACACATGATCAGATGAAAGTCAAATATGGGGCATTTGCACAGGCACACTGAAAGCATACAGGGTGCATAGACTTTGGATCCAGATAAAGTTGGGAGTTTTTTGTATATTTTAAAAAATTTTTGGCTAAAATTATAGCATTCATGCTCTATAGAGGTGGGGCAGGATTTTTTACACAGTTGTTCATGTGTTGGAACAGATTCAAAATTGTTTTTAAGAAAATCCTGTCTTAAGAGTGGGTACTCGTAAGATCACTTTTGTGGGGAGATGGAAAGACCTTTAACCGAGGCGGTATCCTCATTAGACTGCTTCAGTTTCAGAAGGGGGTGCCGTCTCTCTCCCCGCCTCCAGTGATTGTATGGACCTGCCCTTAATCAGCAATAATACCTGTACCCCAGATACTTGTCAGAGAAGAACCCTTAGCTCTCTATTGCCCAACATTCAAAGTCTAACTTTTGAGAAATGTTTATAGAGGAGGCCAAAAATTGAGTAATCCATCCATTTCCCTAGGAATTCTGAATGAAATTAGCCCACTGTGGAGACCTTTGTGCCTGGGTTGCCTTGTTTTGGCCACACATCAAGTTCCTTCCCACACTTAGCTTTGGATGTATTGTGAAGCTTATATTCATGATGGGGATGATGCTGGGTCACTCTAACTTGTGGTCGCTTCTTTGAGGACCCCCCAGGAGAAATTTCAGTTTTCAGTTCAGGAGTAAAGGTGCTTCTAAGCAACTGGTTTGCTCTTATCTTTTAAAGTCTCTGAATAAAGTAACAAATCACATATTACAGCTAAGAGGTTCAGCCAAATTTCAGTTTCGCCTGTAGCAAATGTTTAGGACGTTAATAGTGTGCATTGTTCAGTACTTGCCTTCTGGCTATGTCTGATTTCTTAAATTCTTATTTCTCCTTGGCTCTGATTTCCTTTTGTTCCCCCACTCCCCCCCATTTTTTAAAGTTTTGTGTCATGTTCTTAGAAAGTCTTATTTTGGAATAAGGTAGAGTATAAGTATATGGAGTGAATGAGTTTAAATCTAGTCTCTCACTAACTGACCAGAGTAAGTTTTCCGAAGTATAAAATGAGGATCACGCCTTAAGACTTATTAGGATTAAATGAAGTAAAAGTGTGTGAAGCACCTGGCAAGGCTCCTGGCACATGGTAAGTGCTCAATAGGGGGATGCCCAACCTGGACTAGGGGAGTGGGGAAGGCATCTTCAGAGGAGATGGGGCATAAGCTCAGCCTCATGTGGAGCCTTTTTAACATTGTTTTCAATGCTATCAAATGATTACTTAGGAATCACATTTTCCCAAGTTAAGCTGGACACACTGGGAAGGGGAATTAGAGCAGGTAACTTCCAAGGTTTTCTTTTGAATTCTGAGATTATATGAAAACTGCTCGAATTAAGGAAAGTCTGGTCAAGTGACTTTTGATTACCACGAAAAATGGAATTAATGGTGGCTGTTTAAAACCTTTCCTGTTAGACTAAACCGGGGGACAGCGAAACGAGGAGCAAAATTAAGTGAGCTCTGATGTTTTTAAGCTAATTTATGCTTTATTTCAGGAATTTAGGAATCCACACTTATGGACTTAATAAAGGTATACTGAATAGATAGATAAATCTATTCCTTTAAAACTGGCTGATTTCTGGGGGAAAAAAAGTCTGGGGTAAATGTGTTTAATCTATAAACTACCAGAAGATGTCACTGTCTCCCAAGTAATGGTCCATCACATTAGCCCTTTTGCAGGTATGTTTTTTGAACTCTGACAGGCTGTCACAAATGATAAGAATTCTTGGCTTCTAGTGTTGAGTTTCTGAGAAGGATAGGACCTCACAAAAAGTACTTTTCCAAGGTGTGTAGGTTTGTTCCATCTTGATTCTTGATGCCCTAAATGTGAACCCTGTTCACTGCTCCATATATGGAAATTGTCTGGATGCTCCAGGTTACATTTGCACTTTCAAGAAAAATGAAGGGGATGAAAAATTCTCCAAAATATCCTCTCAGATCTTGACTCCCTCCCACATTTTCAGGCTGCATTATTATGATGCGACCACGTTTACTAAATTATCAGATTTTCTAAGATATTTTGGCCTTGGACACATCTTAAGATATACTTATCTTTTTTTCAAGTCACCATTCATGGTATGTAAAGCAAAATTGGAAAGTGTTTCCACACTGTAATATTACTGGATGAAATGAACCAGTATTTCTCCAATTACTCACAAATAGGGACTTCAGACTAAGTCTGATCCGATATATACTCATAATCTTCAGGCAGTAAAACATGTTAGAAAAAATTAATTCTCTCATCTTTGCAGCCAGGAAACAGACTCAAAAATTTATAATCGAGTTTCTTATGTTGGGGCTGTGGGAATGGGATTCTCCAAGGTGAAATGATAATTCGTTAAAGGCAGCCAGTGACAGCCAGAGGATAAGTGCATGGGTATGATTTCTAGTCCAGCTCTGCCCAACACCTCAAAAGAACTAAGTATGTCATTGGTCTTCTCCATGCCATTGGCTTCAACAGTCAAGTGGAGTAGTCTGCCCAACCTAGTTCTCTAGGTAGTTATAACCTCAAAGGAGCAGTGAAGAATGAACTTAAAAGTACTTCATAAATATAAGGAATTCATGTTCTAACTAAATTCTATGAAAAATGCAGAATACTTAGATATTATTCCATGTTGTGTAAAAGCATCCTACATTTCTTTATTTTGATTGACTTTCTTTTAAATTTTCATTAATTGGGAAAAAATTAATGACACAGTATTTAGGCAGTTACTGAAAATAGAACTTGGTGTGTTTCTAGGTTGTCCATGTATGCAACCTT